TGGGAAATTATATTGGATACTGAACCAGGTCTGCTATAATATACAACTATCTACATTCGTTTATAAATTTTTGGATATTACAGGTTGTTATGCAGCGATTGGTGTTGCTACCACCACATGGAATAAACGTGGTCGTTTAGGGGATAATTCAGATGGTTGGGCATTAAGAATCTATTCTGTTAATCATACAAGTTTTGAGTTCAAAGGTACACGACATGGCGGTGCTTCGCAGGATTATTATAACGGAAAATTTCTCACTGGTACAAAAGTTGGTGCTCTGCTAGATTTGGACAAAGGAACACTAGAATTTGTTAATAATGGTGCAAAGAACGGTAAGTTACGTTCAGAAATCAAACAAATAGCTATCTTTTTTTAGAAGTGAAATCAGTGTGGATGTCTGCTGAATATAGGGGTGGCGTTTTCTGTTTCCTACCTCTTTTTTTTATTAACAAAAGAAGAAAAGTTTTTCTTTTTCCTTACAACAAAAAAGAGTAGAGCTATAATGCATATCTTTTCTGTGCATTCTTTACTTTTGAAGATAAAAGATACCACTTTATCATTACTTTGGAAAGGAATGGCAAAATACCACTTCTAGTTGAATAAGTCCAAGCACCATATGCAGAAAATATACATGACGTCTCTATAGAAAAGCAGTTCGTCGGATACCGATAGCACAGTGATGTTGTAACTCTCGAATATGAGTTCGAGCCTATCTTTTACAATTCTATCAAAATCTGTTATATTCCCAAATATAATCTTAATAGTATATTCTATCCTGTTCACTTTACTTACCAATTATACACTAACACGTTCGTTTGCACTTGAAAAACACAGGTATTTATATATAAAATTTACATATAGTTGAACGTGCGAGAAACAGATGGAAAAGAGTACTCAGTAGAACAGAATATAACAAGACATCAGGAGAATAGAAAAAGACATGACGAACATATGGGGTAAATAGAACCGGAAGGGCAAAGAATAATCACATTCAGCATTATACGAGATTTCTGAGGGTCCTGGAAAACGCTGTTTAGGATCTGCAAAGATAGTTATCGATCATGCTGAATCTTGTGGTAATGTGAGTTTTCGAGACAAAATGGAGCAATCAGATGAAAGCCTATATTAAATGAAATAGGTCATTTTCGACTATTGCCGCTAAAAATTAAGAAGTTTCAACTTAGTGAATTTGTTGCTTAAGTGACAGCGTTTGCCATTTTTTTCATCTTCTTGTCGCACACTATGTAAATGTACCTGTCGCTTTTCTTTTCATTTCCTGTTGATGTAAGTTACGTATGCATCAGAAATTTGAAAGTCAATCAAACATTAATTTATATTCTGTAAAAATTTCCTAACGTTCTTCGTAACAGGTTTATGCTCAATTTTCTGGACTCGTTTAAGTTTTTTAAGCTACGACAGGTGTGGAACCGATATAAAAATGCCGATCGGTGATTTTAAATTTAAAACCGAACCGGTCAATTGTGACGATTTAACAAAAAAATTGGAAGTCTTGTGAGTGTGTTAGATTTTGTAGGTCAGGGTGAAGAATGATGTAGATCTAAACTATCTCGTTTTTCTTTGACAATTTGTCTAACTGACGAGAAATGTCTTTCTGATTCTGCACTTGAAGCTTGGATAATAAAAACATTTATATTTTAAATAATGTATATATGAGTGATTCTGATAAAAATAGTACCGTTCGAATGAAGTAAATGATCCCAAGCGTTTCTTTTTTTAGCCTTGATGAATCACTTTCGGACTTCTCGCATATATTCAACAATGTTAGGCTTATAATCGCTGCAAGTACGACTTTTCTATGTTTAACCGTGAACAAATTATAAGCAAAACATCCATGTTTGACCGCTATTCTGATGTTGTTTTTCTGGTGATTCGAATGCGTTTGGTTTTGTAAATGTTATTTTCTCTGTTATTTTATGTGGAGCAATATTTTTTTTTGTCTCTTTCTTATAGTATTTTCTTCGCTCTACTCAGGTACATCATTACCTTTGTTACCGATTGTTCTGTTTTTTCACACATTTGTTCCGAATTTGTGATCCCAAAAAAATTATTTTTTCTGTCCCGTAACCATATGGTCTGTGAGACCTCTGGTAAATTATTCAGTTTGCCTTCTTTATATACCAAAAGTTGACTAAATATATAGAATAGACAACAACGAAAATCCGACGTTTCTATCACTTTTCACTACCAAGTAATTCCCACTTTACTGAAGTTCTGTGAGGTTTGACTGGCAATTTGTCCCGTAACCACCTACTATGCCACGCCTCAACCGGGCTTGATAGAAAGTTTCTTTTTTTACCATAAGTGTTGTCTACTCACACGATGATCCCGTATAAATAGCAAAGACTAAGATTGCTTTATAAGGGAGAAAGGTAGAAAATACAAAGAAATGTCCCGTAACCGTTTTTTTCTGTTTCTTCTGTAACTTTAATATACCACGCGCGAATAAAGTCAAATTTCTAGTGTAGAGGTTTCGAAACATGTTGAATTTAATGAAGTACATAAATAGCATTTAGACCGACCAAAAGATGGTTTCCTAAAGAACGGGATTCTCTACAAACCTGTTTCATCTCTTTCCCTGTTGTCGAAAAACCCAGTGCGCTCGATCGTTTTTTAAATAAGTCGAGCACAAAAAGAGCTAGAGAGCTCGGGTCTTCACCATTGGAAAGAAAAGACTTGACTGCACTTTTCTAAACAGAAAAGATTTCAAAAATCTTTTTTTCGAAAGCAGGCTTTTTAAGAGATTTTTGAAAAATCGGGCCATAGCTCAAGAACTTCAAGTACTACTATCCATTTCAAAATATAGTGTGGGTGATGGCGACATGAATAACTCGAGAACGGAACAAGCTATCGAGATCGGATCTTCTCCACTGTGTAGTCAAGACCGAGATGCGTAATAATATGCAGAAATCAAAATTTTTTGCGCTGATCTCTGAAGGATTTCCAAGTGGATCTCGGCCAGAGAGCTTCTAAACAGTTTCAAAAACTTAGTGAAAACGTACATTAGGTGAAATATCCCATTTCTGCCTATTTTTGAGTAAAATTCAAAATTCATAACTCAGTCAAGATCAATCCAAGTTATGTCAGAATATCAAGATGTACTCTATTTTACCTGCTCCAAACGATTTTTTACTTGGGAATAGTAAAAACATTCTTGTACTTCGGAAGACTTTTAGAAAATCCTTTCAAAAACCAGAATATCTTCTGTCGACTTTCAACGCCTCTGTTAAACTGCATAGTATTGAGCAGGTAAAATAGAGTACATCTTGACATTCTGACATAACTTGGATTGATCTTGACTGAGTTATGAATTTTTGAATCTAACTCAAACATAGGCAGAAATGGGATATTTCACGTAATGTACGTTTTCACTAAGTTTTTGAAACTGTTTAGAAAAACAAATACACCAAATAATTATAAACAACTTTTTTTGCTGTAATTGTTTACAATGTTTAAGACATTAAGAGTGAGAATAAATATGAACAAAATTAATAGCTACTGTCAAAATAACACAGCAATTCATCTTTTGATGGTTTTCAATAAACATCTCGTAATGGAAATGAAAGTTGTTCGATCAAATCATCTGATTGAGACGGATGATTAATAGCATGATATGTTTCTTCAATTACACAATCTATTGAACTAGATTCACCAATAACTTTACGTTTTAAATTTTCTTAAATTTACAATATTTCCATATCACTTTTGTCTGATAAATGCGTATGATCGTCACGTACTATAACTGATAAATCTGAATAACTTGTTGCTGTTGCTTTACATTTTATACTTACTCTGAATCATTCTGATTTTTACGTTCAAAACAATATGGACAGCCGTAATAATATAGTTGCCGTTTGTCACGTATAGACTTAACGAATTCAGCAGAGATTTTTAAAAAGATTGTAAGAATATATTTATACATTTTCACCTTTATATACATTTTCCAAAGATTATCATAATAGCGTTAAACATTGTTACTGATCTACTTTCGAATCACCTTCCATTATTCAGCATCTGGAATTATTGAACATTGCTCAGTTCTATTCAGAAATAACTTATTCGTTTTCTTCTTGATGAATATTTGTTTCGTTTAGAAAATTTATGCTGATTCATTTGCTTATTTTTGGAATATATTTTGGATACGTATTCAATTGAAAGTAAATCGTGCATTCGTTTTTCGGCTCAGCGCTTTAAAACGCTTCTCAGTTAGTCTATGTTTTGATTTGTCGTCTTCTGAATTTACAACTGTTCTTCTCTAAGAATAAATGCAAAAAAATGTTGTACTTCTACAGCGCACCATTTGAGATTGTTCTTCTTAGACAAGGTACCAAAAATTGATTATCTTTTTTATTGAGCATCTTTTTCTTCTTATCTCATGAATCGCATTTGTGTTGTTTTTCAAAATAGCTTTATCAAAAATTAGCAATTAAAAGTTAGTAATAACAATTATGAGAAATGATATGGATTAGAAGAATATTATTCATTCCTTGTTTCTCTTCTCATATAATACCAGAAAAGGCTACAATTTTTCTCGAACATAGAAAAAATGTCGAACAATTGAGAGAAGAGAGATGAGAAATAAAAAAACAAAAAAAGGAGAAAAATACACGTGTGAAAATCAAAAAGGCTATTATACAAAAACGGAAAATAGTCATATCACAAATCAGTTAAAGACAATTACTAAAATCTGCACTCGTATCGGACGTTTATACAAGAGATGTGAAACTCGACTCGAAGATTGAGTAGGAAACGATCGTTTACGGATCCCGTTTTTTACAAATTTACCCGAAACCCAGAAGGCTTTAGTGGAAAAGCGTAAAATTTTAGTGAAAAAATACAAGATTTCAGCTCGAAATGCATTATGCTTGAGAACGTAATGATAACTCCACATCTCTAGCCGAAAAACAAAAGTTTTTAGGTGGAAACCGAAAAAGAGAAAATTTTTAGGCAAAAATCGGGTAAGGGTGAAAAAAGAATCTTCGGTTTCGCACATCAAACTCTTTAGAGTGTCGTTCTTGTCTGTAGAACGACACTCACGGGTTGTCTGTGCACATCTTTAGTGTATATATCAAGACTAAGAAATCGTCCTAGAATTGATTACAAAATATTCCTTAAACAAAATTGGAGGATATATTTTCAATTTGATGATTTCCGCCTGTCAAACTATATTGATAGTTTCCTTTTAATTTTTTAAACAATTTTCGAACGTAATTAAAATTAATTAATCTTTAATTTAAGTATCTGTCTGTATATAGAAACTTTTCAATTTTAATTTTATTTTCCTAATGTTGAATTTAATATTACATAAATATATGAGAAGAGAAACAGGGAATGAATAAAATTCTTTTACGCTGTATCAATCCTCCAAACAATGGTAAAAAATTATATTTCTATCGTCAAATTGAAGGCAATCAACACCAATCGATATCTATTGATACTAAGAAATACTGAAATTTCCGCAGTATGACCGTAGGACAAATTATTAGACTATTTATTGCACTCGATACATGACATGGCGACTGGTCATATTCAGATATGTCATCTACGATTGATATATGGTGACGATCGCATGGAAAGATGAGGAAAAAGTTCTAGTGAGCGTAGTGTCGCTCTAATACGCCTCGCACATCAAACTCTTTAGAGTGGCGTTCAGTTATGGGTTATTAGTCTATTCTGCCAGGGATTCACTATAAACCAAGAAAAAAATCAAAGAGTTCAAGCTAAAGGCAGCTGAGAACGACATGTTGGAGAATACGTCAAAGAACTATATTCTTGGTCAATATTTGGCCAATATCACCCTCAAGAAGTTAATTATTTTCAAATAAAATATTATATTGACAATCAGACCAAAAAAGTGTACTGATCAACGTACATTTTTAATCGAAACTTTAATTTTTAAAGAATCGAGTGCTGCATGCTGAATTTTCTGAAAAGCTGACACGAAGTACATTGTTCAGTGCATATTTTTATGCTGATTCCGAATATGATACTGTTATTTTAAAATAATTAATTTTTGAGGTCGATAGTAGTCAAATATCGGTAAAGAATATAATTTTTCCATCATCGTTCTTACTCGTTGGTCGATGCCTTTAGGCTAAGATTTTCTCAGATCGGTAGCATCTTGTAAGATGCGTTTGAGAAAACGTTTTGAGCAAAACTTCACGAGGCGAGGCGTTCTTGAGAAATTGAACTCAAACTTTTAAATTTTTTATTGGTCTAACAACTTCGCAGGATGATTTTCTGTTAATGGTTTTAATGAGGGCTGGAAGAAGGTGCAAAGGTTGTCTCGAGATGTTTTCAACTATAAAAAAGTTATATTTAGCCTTTTACTCCCTTTACTTTTCTACGAAATTGTTGACCCTTTAAAGTGGAAATACTTTTCGAGCTCACTCTCGCCCACCTCTGTCAATTGAAACACGTTAGGTAAAAGCATTTACAAATTTTCACAATACTAATCAAACATTATCATCAAGCAATATGGCTGAAAGTGACATGAGA